TATTCATCCAAAGTAATGTCTTGAGATTTTAAAGGTCTTAAGACTTCTTTTGCATTGTGAGTTGTCATAGGATAACATTTTCAATAATAGTTCTCTTAAGGCAGGTTGTGACACCGTTTTCTGGAGTACTTCTCTTAGTCTAGCTATAAACTCTATGTAGGGCTCATTAGCACCTTGAATAACCTGAGTCATGAAGGGAACAGTCTGGCCAGGAGCAGTAATCTCTTCCCATGCTTGAAGACAACACATTTTAGTTTGAATGATTACCTCATCATTATATTCTATTTGCTGATCAATCCCAAGCCAATTACCAGAGCCTGTGAGTTGGTCCGAAGAAATAGGAACTGGCAGGTCAGCATGGGCGTTACAACGGGCCATTATCCCTGCTTCATTTCTCCATCATGTTCTAAACTGGAGGAATTCAGCAGGACTGAGAACTGTACGTCTGATCATCTCCCAGTCCCATGGAATTAAACGGTCAGACTGAGCTAGTCCCGAAATCAACCCAAAAGTATAAGGAGAGTTCACTCCATATGACACACATGCCTGCTTCAACTCTTTTATGGTTTTAAAGGACAAGGGAGCATGGTTGTACCGCACATACCCTTGGGGTTTTCCTGATCTCCTGGTAGTTGAGTAACTGTAACTGGGTACATAGCAAAAGCCTTACAAGCATCCAGATCTCCTTCCTGTCTGGCTTTGGCAAAAGCCTTCCTAACCATAGTCATAGGTAACGGTCTTTGAAGAGTTAACCGAGATGGGTCCCTAAAAGGGTTAAATTGATCATATATGGGGGCTGAGGGTTGTGCCAGATCCTCATTTCCTATCTCCTATAAAATTTCCTTTTGTTTCATATTTTTTCCAAAACAGAAAATTTCCCATAACCCTGCTGAACAATCCCAGAGACCGGGCTTAGCTGCCCGCCGACTCTCCTCGGGTCTGTGGAGCACTGACTTAATTTCTTTAATCGCCTTTGCTAGTCTCGAAGACTTACTTTCGTACCCCCATCTCGAAGACTTATTTTCATGCTCTGGTCTCATAGACTTACTTTTGTACTCAAATTGTACTTTCATTCTCGAGTCCCTGTTGCTGGCGCCATATGTTGGTAATAACTGTGGTGACAGGTCTCAAAAACGGGGTGCCCACGGATGAAAAGGTAAAAGAGATAAGAAAAACAGGAGAGGCAAAAGTCTGGATCAGGGGGCTTACAGCCTCCGTCCCAGTGACCTTTTGGGTGGAGTCTTTTGGTGCCTGGAATTTCAATCACACTCTCCTTTGTGTCAGGACAGGGGCTTGGTCCATTTGTTTTCCAGTGCTGGGATGGAACCAGGGCCTCACACAGGCTGGAAGGTGACCGTGGCCACTGCCCAGCCTCTGGACCAGCTCTTGTCACCCGGAGCGCAGATGGCAACAGAGGCAGAAGCAGCAGCTACAGGAATAAAGAGCAGAGTTTGTTCCGGCAGGAGCCCTGGGCCATTCAAGCAGGAACACAGGGACAACCCCTCCTCCCAAATGTGTCCAGACCTGCGTTTGGCTGAGCTTCCGCACTCCCCTCCTGAAGGCGGGACATAGCTCTCCTGGCCCAGCTCCGCAGGACTGCAGAAGGCCGCATGCTCCACCCATGCCCCAAGCACTGAGGTGGGGACACCAGGATGCGAGGACCAGCAGGTGCTCTGGGCTCCCCAGTGCCAGGCAGCATAAGGAAAAGGTGGGATCCTGACTGCAAACCCCACTGCGTCCTCCACCAGCCTGAGTCTGTTCTCTTTACTTTTTGTTTTTAAGAGGTACAAAGAGATTAGGCAGAATTTTAAAAGTACCCACTCAAATGCTGAGATTCCGCCTCATCGCAGAAAGAACAGCCGTCATCAAGAAATCAAATACAGGGGCTGGGGATTTAGCTCAGCGGCAAAAGCGCCTGCCTGGCAAGCGCAAGGTCGTGAGTTCGGTTCCTGGTACCGGAGAAAAACCAAAAAAAAAAAAAAAAAAAAAAAAAAAAAGAAATCAAATACAACAAATGCTTAGGGGCTGGGGATTTAGCTCTGTGGCACAGTGCCTGCCTGGAAAGCACAAGGTCATGAGTTCGATTCCTAATACCGGAAGAAAAAACAAAACAACAACAAAGTGCTGGAGGCTGTGGGGAACAGGAGCCCTTCCACACTGTTGGTGGAGTGTGAACCACTACCAACACTGTGGGGATCCACGTGGAGAGTCCACAAAAAACTAAAGCTAGAAATTCCACTCGCCTCTTCTGTGTATCTTTACTATGACGCAAAGCCATAGCATCACAGTGATCCACGCACACCCCTGTTTACAGCAGCACAATTCCTAATAGCTAAGTTGTGGAAGCAACCTGTAACAACAGGGCAGTGAATGAAGAAAATGATGTAAACACACAGCGCAGCACCACTCTGCAAAGGCAAACTTGAGTCATTCCTAGGGAAACAGACGCACCCTGAGGCCACAGTGTTGGGTGAAGTAAATGAGACACATAAGCTTAAAGTTTCTCTTATATGAGAAAGTTTTAAATAAACAAAAATAAATAAATAAACAAAAATAAACAAACAAAAATGCAGAGTAGTAAAGCGGGGGGAATCACCTTTTCTGATTTCAAAATATATATATACCCTGTGTATACTGGCTTCCTCCCCTGTATGTACAAGGCTTAAATCCATAAGTAATACTCAGTAGAGTAACAACAATCGTAATAATAGAGTAATTAGAATAGACTGTAAAGCCAATGTGAATGTGGTTTCTCAACATTTGGGTTTTTAAGACAGGGTCTCACTACATAGCCCGGGCTGGCCTCAAACTTGCAGTGATTCTCCTGCCTCAGCCTCCTGAGTGCTCGGGTCACAGGCATGTGCATCACTACGTCTGACTGTTAATTTTTTAAATACTGAAGACTCAACCCAAAGACTACACTGAAGAAAAGGGTCTCACTAAGTCACTAAGTTGCCCAGGCTGAACTTGAACTTGGGATTCTCCTGCCTAAGCCTCCTAGAGTGCTAGGACAACAGGCATCCACCTCCACACCCAGCTCTCAAAATCTTACTGTATGAAGACCTCGGTCATGTCTCCCCCTCTGTAAGCCCAGCACTTCCTTCTTCACCTAGGGGAAACCATCCTGGCTTCTGTCACGTCCAACCTGCCAGCACTCCTTCCACCATTAAGTGAAGCAAGGGCCACTTAACACAGCTCTGCAATGCCACAACAGCAGGCCTGCTGGTGACAGGGGACAAGTGGTGCAGCCGGCAGGTCACCCTGGCCCAAAGGGTGACTGGTTTCGTCAGACCCCTCAGAACAGTGACAGAACTGCTTGTTTCTGAAACCTCCCACTCAGGGTTTCCTGGACCACAAGTGACCACAGGTAACCAAAACCACAGAGAGCAAGGACACAGGCAAGGAGTGGCGACTGCAGCCAGAGTCATGAACCAGAGGACAGAGGCTGACAGGGCCGGGAGGGCGGCGGGGAGAACTTCAGGGAATCCCCGCAAGCGAGCAGACCCGCCCGCGCCTGACCCCGCCCCTGCACCTTAGCCACGCCCTCTCACAGGCGGGCTTACAAGGGCTCTGCAGGGCACAGCGGTCACTGCTTAACGGGTGGTCAGTTCCTGATGACAGAAGGGCCCTGCGACATCGGGGAGCTGCCCACCAAAACAAGGTTAAAATGCTGTTTTATGTACCTTTTACATTGTTTTTCTTTTTGGTACCAGGAATCAAATTCAGGACCTCACACTTGCCAGGCAATCGCTGTGCCACTGAGCTGTATCACATTTTTTTCAAAAGTGGCAATTCAATCAACTGCAAAGCATGTAACTGCAATGGGGCCCTGTCTGTAGACAGAGGAGGAGACCAGTCAGGAGGGAGCCAGGCAGGAGGGGCAGGAACTGGGCCTGGGGTGAGGACTGTCTCTAACGAGATCTTCTGGTCTCTAGACCTGTGCCTCACACCAGGAAGCCCTGAGCCCTCTGCTCAGAGGCTGCTGTGCTCAGCATCCCCAGGGATGAGCCCAACCAGATAACCGGTCACGCATTCCCCCCCCCATGAACCCCCGGCAAGTAAACGCAGGACTCAGCTCCGTTTTATTACCCCACCAGGGCCAGCCCTTGCCCAGAAGCCTGGCCTCTGTCCTCAGCTACAAGGACTAACCCGGTGTCTTCCTGGGGATTTCTGCCGCCAGCTGGGAGGTTTGGGGAAGCGTGAACTCAAGTATTAGCCCGGCTTGGGGAGGGGCTGGAGACCGTAAGCCACACAGGAGAACCTAAAGAAGCCCAGCTGAACCTGGATTGTTAACACACAGCTCCAGGGAAGCATCCAGCCAGGGATGCCCAGGAAAGGGCCACCCCAAAGCCACAACTGGGCCCCTCCCAGATTTCTGCCCAGTGAAAGTCCCTCAAGCCTTGGCTATCTGCCTTGGGGAGGAGCCCTTAGCACCTGTGACCTGGGGCTGGCCTTATCAATCCCTTCCCACGGGGTCCTTGGAGCCCCCTCCCCCAACCTCCCTGCCCCCTTTGGGCACACGCGGACCACAGCCACATTATAAATTGTTTCTTATTTCTTCTCATTTCCCCACAAAACGAGTCCCAAGAGGCCAGGATTTCTGCTGGCTTTGTTCTGCCAGCAGGCCTGGTGTTCCTGGATGTGCTGCGGCAGGCCAGAGCCTGGGCTTCGCTCCCTGCATGTGAACTGCTCAGCGCATTCCTGCGGCATGAATGGCCTCTGGTACCCTTCCAAGTTCCCTCCGGAAACCAGGCCGGCCCTCCCCACCTTTCTCCCTGGAAGACCAGGCCTGCAGAAATGCCAACTTCACAAGCTCAGCCACAGGGGCAAAGGTGAGTCGCAAAACTCCAGTCGCCAGAACACCCTGGCTGGCTGGAGGGGCATGGATGCTGGCCCACCCTGGCCCCTTGCCGCTGCCCCTGCAGACCCCTTCTCTGGACTCAACTCTGGACCTGAGGCCATTGGTCCAGGAGGGGAAAGGAATTCCTGCCATGACAGAGGGCTGGCAAGACCTCACCAGGCAGGGTGCCTTTTATTTGAATGGGTTTCATCTAATAGCCCGCAAACATTAAATGAGGGAGAAAAACAGGGCCCAGGGCGGGGCGGGGCGGGTCAGGCCTCATAGGGAAAGTGCAGCAGCAGCCCCTCATGGGGCTCCAGCTTCAGGGCTCCCAGTTCCAGACTGGCGCCCTCCTCTCGGCCAGGTCGGGTGCTGAGCAGCAGCCTGGCCTGGGCCGGCAGGCTGGCACTGGCAGGCAGGGCTGAGGCCCCAAGCATGGCCGACAGCCCCACATCCCCGAAGTTGAGCACCACCAGGAAGCGTTCGTTCTGGTCCCAGTAGCGCAAGTAGGCGAACAGGGGAGATGGGAGGGACAGCGCATGGAAGTCGCCGTGCAGGAGGGAGCGCTCCTTCTCCCGCTGGTCGCTGAGTCTCCGGAACAGAGACAGCAGGGAGGACGGGTCCTCACTCTGGCCCTGTGAGGGGAACACAGAGGGGTGAGGCCTCAGGGTACAGACTCCACCACCTCCCCACCTTCTGGGCCATGCCTCACCTTCACTGTCACATTGGCACCTGTAAACCTGGAGGTATCAGGGAGGCTGGACTCATCCCATGGCATGACTAGGGTCTCGGCCGGCTGGGAGCAGAGAACAAGGCTGCAAAAGCTCCATCCTCCTCCCCCACACCTCCCACCACACAGGCAGAGGCTCCGGGCCCACAGCCCAGCTCATACACTGTCCCCTCCGCCCTCTCCCCTCCAGGGCTACTCCCAACATCCAGTCCTGGGGCTGCTTGTAAGATCCATGGCTGCTTGAGAGCTCACTCCTGGCCTCCGTCCCCCTCACCTCGCTTTCCCTGGCAAAGCTTACCAGCACCTGCATCTTTATTACACTGCTTATCAAATTCACCACCACCAGCTCTTTTGCTCACCACTGGATCCGTTGTGTGTGTAGCACACAGGGATTAATAAAAAACCCATTGCTAAGTGCGTGACTCCAACACTGGCTAAACCCATGCAAGCCACAGCAGTGCCCTGCCGCCAGGCCACTCACCACTCATACTCCCCTGGCTCCCCACTAAACCACAAGTTGCTGGAGGACCTGGGCCTAGCACAGCAGCCACCACCCAATGAAGGTCTCAGGCACTGACATTAAAAACAGGCTGAAGGGCCTGGGGATTTAGCTCAGCGGCACAGCGCCTGCCTGGCAAGCGCAAGGTCGTGAGTTCAATTCCCGGTACCAGAAAAAAAACAAAACAAAACAACAACAACAAAACACACACACACACACACACAAAAAAAAAAAAAAAAAAAAACGGGCTGGATATGGTAGCAACACCTTTCAGTCCCAGCTGCTCGGGAAACTGAGTCAGCCTGGGCAACACAGCAAGACCTCCTAATCATCCTACGAGAAATCCAGCGCCACAAAAGACATGACCAAGGGTAGAATGACCCGCTCGAAGCCATGCAACCACGGATCAGGAACAGGACCCGGTTCAGCCCGAGGCAGGGTCTGAGCTGCCAGCCTGAGCCATCCCATCATGATCCAGTGGGCGACCCCGGCATCCCTGCTGTGTGAGCAAAGTGAGCAGCACCTCTACAGGACGGGTGACAATCTGCAGGCCGATTTCATCTCCATAGCTGAACACAGGGGTGCCTGGCAGGGTGAAGAACAGCAGCTGGTACAGCGGGAGGAGCTGAGCAGGCACGAAGGATGTCAGGAGGTGGGCCTGCGACACCTGCCGACAGACAGACCCTGTGAGCCCCGGCCCACCTCCTGCACCCTCCCCCAAGGCCCTGCGTGCCCACACACTCACACTCCAGCTGCACCAGCGGCCAGCTGTGCCATTCAGATACTGGGTGACCAGGAACTTCATGTGTTCCCCCATGCCGTTGGAGCTCAACAGGTAGGAGCTGGTCAGAAGCATATCCTGCGTGGAGTTGAGGAGGCTCACGAGCTGCTGCAGGTCGAAGGAGTTGGTGCCTGCAACCAAGAGCCTGCGGAGGCAAGGCAGGTGCCAGATTGCCCTGAGACAGGACACACCCACGACCCCAGAGGAGCAGAGTCAGGGCACCCATACTCACCTGTCTGTACTGGAGCTCTTGATTACGTTCTCCCACTCAGCCAGGAAGGACGACGCACCCTGGAGGAAGACAGAGTCAAAATCCAGGGCCACTCCCAGCCTGGGCAGGACTCTTTGCTCATGTGGCATCGGCTCGCACGGGGAGTGGGGCTCACCATCAGGTTATCCACATCCCGGACCTGGAATCCGTCCACTCTACCCTTCAGCCAAAAGCTCAGCGCTTCCTACACGTGGAGAGGAACATAGAAACAAGCAACACACAGGTAAAGGCTCGGGAGACACCAACCCACACTCTCACCACCGCCCACAGCCCTGGTCCCCTCCACCCTGCATCTCTGACCCCTACAGAATCTTAAGTGTTGCAGCTTCACCTTAACAGGTACAGAAAAGGCCCAAAAGAAAATGCATATCAAAAAAATAACTCCACTTAACACCTAGCAGGTGGAAGGCCAGTATCCTCCCCTTTGTTTCCTTTGTAATTTTTTGAGACACGGCCTCACTACACAACCCAGGCTGACCTCGAACTTGGAGTAACCCTCTTGCCTCAGCCCCGAGTACAGGTGTGTGCCTCCATGCCAGGCCACTACCCTTTATTCTGAAGATGAGGAAACAGGCTCAAGAACCAAGGAGCCGTAGTCCCAGCAGGAGAGCAGCAGCCCCCAGGGTGAGCAGCCTCACTCCCCTCCAGTCTCCCAAGGGCAGGCGCAGGCACAAGACCAAGGATGAAAGATCAGAATTCCAAGCACAAGCCCACAAAGCCCTGGGAACAGGCCTGGCCTAGCCCTGGCCGTTAGGCATCTGGCACAAGCCTCAACCCGTCCCAGCCACCCCCTCCTTTCTCTTCACTCTCCGTTCTGCCTCCTCTGGTCTCCACTTCCAGCTGAGGGTGACCAGACTGCCCCACCAATCTGAAAACTGTCCCTTACCACCAACTTCTCAGGGTCTCCCAGCAACTGTCCAGGACCAAACTCACCGATCCTGGGGTCCCACCCAGATGCTACGAGATTAGAATTATCTCTTAGAATGGGCAGCTGTGTGAGCGGTCAGGCCCGCCCATCCTGGGAGTGGCAGCTGGGGCTGGGTGACAGTGGAAACCCCACCCCAGCCTGCCAGGCTCAGCTGGAGCCACTACCATGAAGAAGGATCAGTGTGAGAGGACGGACTACTTGGACTTCGCATCGGGGGCACCTGAAGCTCCTCTGTGCCTGCTTCCTCACTTACAGATTCAGGCAACAGTAAGTACTTTATGCATTATAGGGGACGAGGAAATAGCTACGAGACATGTGGCATGGTCCCAGTCACAGAGAAAGACCCCAGGGCTTACAAATTCAGACTGGCCAAGCTAGGTGTGGTGGCACATGCCTGTAATCCCAGCACTAGGGAGGCTGAGGCAGGAAGATCACTGCAAGCCTGGACTATATAGTGAGCTTAAGGCCTGCAACCCACATAGTGAGACCCTGACTCAAAAAACAAAAAGCGAAAGGAAACAAAGTTTCAAACTGGGCTTCACTCCAAAACACATCAAACAAGGAAGGGAAGCCAAGCAAGAAAGGCTTCTCACACAGAAAAAAAGGATTTCCTATCCTAAAAAGAAGGAAAATCAAACTTGCAGATGGACACCTGAAAAATTCCCTTCCTGGTGCCCTGTCACCCCCAAAGTCAAGGAAACAAGAAAAATGAGAAGTCAGAAAAGAAACAAACACAGGGGCGCTCTGCAGGCCTATCCTTCCGGCTGCAGGAAGAGGGGTTCCTGCTCCTGCCCTCAGGGGCCAGGCTGGGGGTACAAAGCTCGGGTGGGTGAAAGACACCCTGGGGTGGTGTTCAGCTCCGGGCACACTCACCTTCACCTTGGTGGCGGTGGCATTCTCCTGCTCGGGGAGGAACCAGGAGCTCTGGCCCCGGTAGTTGGGAGTGAGGTCCAGGATGACACGGATGCCTGATGGAGTAAAGGAAGCTTGCTTAGTGCTTCCGGTGTGTGCTCATCCGGGGCCTGCCAAAGCTGAAGGCAGCACTGTACAGCAGCAAAGGGGGGTAAGCTACAGGGCCCTGGGCTCCTCACCCCCAAAGCGAACCCTTTAAACATGTTTCTATATTGAGCTTAAAGACACCATCTGCCCTCCCTCCGCCCAAAAGAATAGTTTTGTAAGTTTAAAACCCCCTGTGCAAGTGGCCTGTTCGCTGATTTAATAAAGGCCCACCCTGGGGAAATAAAGACGCTAAAACGTACGATAAGGGACCGATCCAAGACTGCCCAGCCAAGGAGAAAGGCCCCGAGCCACCTGTTAGGCCGAAGTCTCACAAATCCTGCCCAGTGAAAGCCGGAGGCCGTGAGCAGCACACCAGACAAGCAAGCAGCCCTGCCCTTCCCCGGGGAAAGGGGACCAGGGGAAGCCCGGGCACCCACTCTTTTTCCTGGCTGCTTGGAGGAGGCTGTTGAAGTCTTCCTCGGAACCAAGAGTGGGGTCGATCTGCTGCAGGTCGGTTCCTGCCAAGTCATCCTTCGGGTTCTTGTGAATGGGCCCAAGCACGAGGCCCTTCACCTTCAGGGTGCTCAAGTAATCGAGGCGCTCCCGCAGCGCTGGGGGCGGGGGGGGCTCGGTCACCAGGGGGCCTGAGGCCCGGCCCTCCGCGCCCGCCCGCCCGGTCACGCGCGGCGGGAGCTGATGCAAGAAGGCGG